GTGACCCTGTGGCCCTCAGCATGAGAATCCAGACTATTCTACTGCCAGAAGGTCTGCATCCTTGCTGGAAAATACCTGGACACTCACAGACTGCAAGCTCAGGCAGTCTTGCCAGGAGCTAACAGAGACCCACCAGAGACACCTGTTAGAGGACAGTATTCCTTGGCTCCTTTTGCTGACAGTGGAGAAGAAGGGATTTTTTTCTGTAGACAGTTCAATTTGCCTTCTGAATTCAACCCTTTCCTCCCATGCTTGCATGGGGAGCATCAGAGAAGAAATTTCCACCTTGAGCATGCAGAATTGCTCCTCCATTCCTGCTTTCTCCCAGGGATCACTGCTCTCCCAGGCATCCTGTTCCCGGCCATCATACACTTTGACTTACTTCTTTTTACCACTTATTCTAAGAGCTTTGGGATTGTGAGCTGTGTTTGACAAGGGCACCTCTGTATTTCTGCTGTCCATCCTTGTGCTGTTTTCCATACCTTTGGTTTCTTTGTTTCTTATGCCCATGCTAAATGGAGAGTGCCTTAGCTGGATGCTCCAGCAGACTGTAATCCTGCCCACTAGCCATCAGAGGTCAGTCAGTCATCTTATTCAAGTTTGCATTTTAGCTGTGTATTTAAAAGTCAGCTTTCCTCCTAGTCTTTTTGAGATCATATTTATTTTAGTCTAGATTTGAAACAGAAATTTTGCATAAGCCACTTTAAGAATATGCTAGTATTATCCTCTCACAGACAATGCCTTCTTTAACTACAAAGAGTTTACTTTTTCAGTTGTGCCATTATTCTGCTTTATGATCATGCTCAAGTTAATGTTTAGACAAGTTGGTCTGAATTAGCACCTTTCATTTCATTTAACAGAGATACTTTCATTTGTAGCTGAGGCCAGATGAGGATTTATTGATTTGCTTCTCAGAAGTCCACCTCTTACTTTAAGCATACAAACTACCTCTCATTTTCCATATAGCTCTTTGTTAGAAGAAAGGCCACCATACAAACACAGCCCCTCATTACAGTCTGTGTGGTACAACAGATGGTATTTGCAAAGTTAAGGGGACAATATAAGTACCAAATGTTTAGGACAAGGCATAATCAATACATGAGAAATGCATACAGTTTAGTTCCAAATTTAGTGATGAGAAGAATCTGTTGCATATCAGAGATAAAAAGAAATCACAATAATAATGAAACAAATTGCATAATATTGGACTTTTAAATATTCTTACTGTATCAGTAACCCAAAGTAAATAATACTAAGAGTTGACTATATGTGTCTTTCTGTAAATGAAAAGCATATGGTTTAAAGGAAACCATAGTCACTTACAGTTATTAAGTTTATGTAAATAAAGAAAACAGATCCGGCGGAGTCTTCAGAGCAAATTTCTCTAAGAATAAAGCAGGCCGCAAATGGTTCAGTAATTCCCAAGGGGCTGTTTGGGGCTGGTTGTGCTATTTAAGCGGTATGTCTCTTAGGTTACTAATGTGAGCAACAGTCTGCCTGCTGCATTTTAAATTACCAGCCACTGCCAGCCCATTGTTTTATGTGATTCCCCCTATGAATAGCTATATTTATTCATAAATAGCTGGCTGTTCAGTGAGTCTTGCTCTGCTTTGTGGAACTAACTAAACAGTATATTTCTTTAGTCAATTGCACCATATGTGTCTGCACCACATGCTTCTGTGAGCTTCATTCAGACATGCCAGCAGTGGTTCACTATCGACCTGTGAAGTTTGAAAGAGGGTCAAAAATCAGTTGCTCACCAGACCTCTGTCAAGTGTAGAAGTGCTGCAGGGGTGTTTGAAGAAGGAGGAGGGACAGCATTCCATCATGAGACATGCTCCTCTCCAGGTTGAGGGCTCTAGTTAAAAACTGCTGCAGGGGCATGGCTTGCTTTGCCATAGACTAGTATCACAGTGATGGCACCAGTACAGTCTAAAGCCAACTGTATCCTGTAAAATGCTGTTATCTGAGGTAATTTCCTGGACTACAGAACTTGCTGACTTCCTAAAAAGAAAAAAAAAAAAAGAAAGGAAGAGACCTTCAGCAAATGAACATCCCCAGTGAAGGAACAGATGTGCTGCAAAGGTGACCTGGTGGCTCATCACAAACACCACCATAACTGAGCATATTTAAGCCAGCAGCAAGTGACCTGCATGGTGTTAATGTTGTAGGCAGCAGTGATGTCAATGAAGTAGTGATGCTGTGGTAGGGGATTTGACCATGGTCAATCTCTGTGCAAGGGCAATGAACACCATATAGAGACCAAGGACCAGGAGCAATGCCAGGGTGTCAAAGAGTCAGAGGCCACCTCTCCATTACATAATCCACCAGGCAAGGGAATAAAGGCAAGAAGGAGAATACATCCCCCTTTTAGTATCAAGTGTTATAACTATTGTGAGGACTGGAAGGTGACGAAGGAGTTGTAGTAGTGCCAGGATGCTGACAGCTGATGTTTGCAGTGCTGTGACACTGCAACCAAATCTGAAAATTTCATCATGCAACATCATCCTCAGCCATGAGATCATAGCAGGAGAAGTTCAGATGACTAACCTCACAGCCTGCGCTGAAAAAAAAAAACAGGGATATTACAGGGCATAAGACTAAGGATTAAAAATTCTTATTTTTATTCTCTTTCACTTGCATCCTGCATTTGAACAACAGTTGAAGGCTTTGTAAGATTAAGACTTCAGCATACATTTCAGTGAATTTCTGAATTCACTTTATGCTGAGCATACTGTGCTAAGCAGAGTTATTACCTCTGGTGCCTGCAGTAAAAGAGCCCCTTGGGATGTTTGACAGGATATAATGTCTGACGATGATGAAAACAAAAGAAGTCCTCTCCATGGCAGATTTAGTCTCTTGAATTTACTGATAATGCACTCTCCTCCTATATATCAAAATTCCACTTCACCCACTCAGATGTCTGTTCTGTACACTGCTGACATACACGGAAATGCAAACCTCCCATAAAAGTAGAAGAAAATGCAAGTGATGTTCTGATAAACAAAGAGAGACTTCAGAAGAGGGAGGGAAAGCTTTGGTTTGCATTTAAAATTAAGTCTCTGAACACACAGTTACAGAGAGAAAGAGAGCTGTACAGAGGTGCCAACACAAGGCACATGCAGCTCACCTGGATAGTTCTGCACCAAGACTTAAATACAGGGGTTAGTTTGCACTTTGGTAAATCCTCCTTGCCCTTCTTGAAGCCCAACAAACTTACCACAGTGAACTTGCATTCAGTTAAAGGTCTCACTGAAGAGATCTTCCACTCCCATGCCTCCCAGCAATACATATTAAAATGTCATTCTGGCTTCCAGGAAAATGATATTTCTCTGCTTGAGTGTAGGGTTAGTGTGATCCAGCTGGCTGAGTGAAGGCATCTGCACCAGAGCTAGTTCTTCATGCTATGTGGAGAGGAACAGTCACCTACATGGGTAGGACTCATCTGCTGCTGATGTAGACATTTAAATTAGGGTGGATGAATTGTCCCTCAAAACACTTGTTTGTCTCCCTTGGTTGTAGTGGGAGCCTGGGGTGAGGTACTGAGGCGGGGTATCTGCAGGGCAGCAAATATCAGAGAAGCTGAATCCTCACTTTTCAGTTACTGAGAGAAACTCTTTTCTGGGGTAGAGGAAATCTTACACAGAGTGAAAGTGCTCATGCTTTTACTCCATCTGGATAAGCATGGATTTGCTGTTGATTATTGCCAGGTGGCTGACATAAAAAGGAGATGAAATGAGGCTGAACCTTTTGCAGTTTTTCCAGTTTAGGCTGGTGAGCATGGGAAGGAGCAGGAGAGGGAGGAAGGGGATGCTGCATTTGCAGTATGATAGCCCATGTGTGGTAAGGATAGTGGGGAATAAGACACAAGTCCTGGTCCATGCCCAGTTCCCTATGTGGCAGAGCACTTGAACCGCACAGCCTACAGTTCCCAAGGCAGCTGAATCCGGTGTGCACCCAGCAATGAAACCACAGGCACCAGCTCCTTATGCCAGCCCGGTCTCACTCAGAAAGGGACCCAGCCTCAGTGTCTTCTCAGCCACATAAAATGCAGATATCTGAGCTATGGTAGCCACCCTGGCTCCGGGGAGAAAGCTTGTCAGGGAGCTATTAGTTCATCTGTTTCATAGCTCTTAGGATAGGGTTACTGCTCCCTGTGACTGCCTACACCTTTCCTGGCTGCTTATTCACTCCATTTACTAAGGAGGATAAATTCCTCTAAATGAAATTCAGCAAAACACTGGGAGCACTTGAAGTGTATCTAGCTGTTCAAAGCAGATAAAGGGCAAATTTAGCCCATCAGCCTACAACGTGGCAGTTCTTGCTTGTCAGAGAACCCCTCTGTTCCTCCCTCTCATCCGAGACCTTACAGGGCCTCAGGGAGCTGACAGGGCTCCACAGTGCTCAGTGAGGGGATTCTGGAGCTGGAAGCCCAGGCAAACACACAAATTGAAGGAAACCAGGCTGTGTTAATTTATCCTGAGTCCTCGGCTCTCCCTAAATCAGCAGTCTGCTACAGTCAGCCACCCTGCTTGCATGTTCATGTATACAAAATCCAAATGAAATGTTGACAGAAGAGCCAAGTTTCATGCACTACATTAATTCAAGACATATCCTGGGCGAAGGGATGTCAAATTAAAGTATCTCCTTTCTGCAGTTCCCCATTTCACCTGGGTCTTCCATTCCAGAGGCAAACAGGAGCACAGCCTGCCTCCGGTAACATAGGACAAATATATGGGGGCCAGAGCAATATGTGGACCCAGGCTGCAGGCCAGGCACAGACAAAATACAAACCCCGCATCCTCTCTATGCACTTGCTTTGCGTGGGCAAAGAGCTGATGTGTATGACAGATGTGAGCTGTAAAGGCAGGGCAGTGCTGTGATGAGGGTCAGCGCTATTTTGATGACTGCATCATGCTCTAATTATAGTGTTGGGAAGACTGGAAGCTGCCAGATTTGATACGGGAATAATGTGATATGGGACCTGCAAAATAAAGACACTTGTTTTGTTCTTGGTTGCTTAACTCAAGGACAAATCCTCTGAGGAAGGAAAAGCAACTTTAAGGTTATAATTGACTCCCAGGAATTCTGAACATAATGTCTATAATTAGACACAGAAAAAAATCAAGGTAGCATTGTGTTTATTTCACTGGCTCCATCTCCTGTGCTTTTGGCACTGTGGCTCTTCTGCTGAGCTTCAGACAGTTGACTGAGCTGTTAAATTATTCTTCACCAGGATAAACAGCTGAGGAAGCCCCACAGCTCACTCAAGCACAGTGCTTCTGGTGGGTGTTGCTCTTTGAGGGTATTCAGGCAAGTATATGCCTTTATATATATATATTGCAATACTCCTCTCTGTTATCTGCTCCATAAACTTGTCTGCCTCATTGCAAAACTTTTACAGGGTTGTTCTACAGTGTTAAAGGATTTATATCGTATTACAGAATCATATCATAGAATTGCTTTGGTTGAAAGGGACCTTGATGATCATCTAGTTCCAACACCCCTGTCATGGGCAGGGACACCTTTCACTGTATCAGATTGTTCAAAGCCCCATTCAGCCTCTCCTTGAACATTGTCAGGGATGGGAGTGTTCACGTCCACAGTCACATCTTCTCTTGGGCAACAAAGAACTTCTTCCTAATATCTAATCTGAATCTACCCTCTTTCAGTGTAAAGCCATTCCCTATCACTACATGCTCTTGCAAAAGGCCCCTCTCCAAGTTTCTGGTAGGCCCCCTTAAGTACTGGAATATTGCCATAAGGTCTCCCCAGAGCCTTCTCTTCTCCTGGCTGGACAACCCCAAATCTCTCAGCCTGTCTTTACAGGAGAGGTGCTCCAGCCCTCTGAACATCTTTGTGGTGTCCTCTGGACTTTCTCCAACAGGTCCATGACCCTCTTCTGTTTGCGGTCCCAGAGCTGGATGCAGTGCTGCAGGGGGGTGTTCTCGTGAGAGCAGAGCAGAGGGGCAGGATCACCTCCTTCACCGGTTGGTCACACTCTTTTGATGCAGCCCAGGACATGGCTGGCTTTCTGGGCTGTGAGTGCACACTGCTGGGTCATGTTTTATCATGTTGAACTGCTCATCAACCAGCACCCCCAAGTTCTTCTCAGGGTTGCTCTCAATCCAATCTCCACCCAGCCTGTGTTTGTGCTTGGGATTGCCCCAGTGCAGGTGCAGGGCCTTGCACTTGGCCTTGTTGAACTTCATAAGGTTCACGCAGGCCCAGCTCTCAAGCCTGTCAAGATGCCATTGCAGCATTTCACAGTTTCTATGGTCTGATTATTCTTTGTGTGTTCTCCCTCAATAGTTGTGAGCTTCACAGCCTGCAGAAGCCTTTCGTTGTAGCATCTCAGAGAGGTCACTTGTCTCTGGTAGAGGGTATTTTGTAGGAGGTGGGATGAGGAATCACTTGACCCTAGGACTCAGCTCTGCTGCTGGCTTTGGATGAGTCACTTTGCAACCTGGTGCCTCAGTTTCCCTTGTGATAGATGGTAAAAGCAGCACACACCCAGCTGGGGGAAACACTCTCAGAGACTTTGATAAACACAGTGATCAGAAACGGGGAATGGATTCCTCAATATTACTGATGATTCACCTCCTGGAACTGCTGTCCACTCCTTGCTTTCCCCAGCTTTCCCCATGTCTTACTGTTTCAAGGTCTACCTAACTGCTTTAGAGATCCCCCCTGCCCTAATGGCACACTTCCACCTCTCCTGTGCTGCAGCAACCTCTCCTCCAACTATCTTTCTTCAGAAGCTCATTGGAGAATACTACCTTCATTTTCTGTCTTTCCCCCCACAGAGATTCTTCCCCCTAAATACTCTCTTCTGTCCTCAGTTTAGACATGCTGGCATGCTCTCCCCTCCTCTCGCCTGTGCCCACCACAGTAGTCAAGGCCCTGCCTGCTCCTCCTGGGCAGCTGTAAGCCCAGTGGCACCAAAGGGCTGTCTACAACTTCAGCACATCAAGTGTCAGATCAATCAGTGATTTTCCCCAGCTATTCCCACCAGGCAGGGTGTTTAATCCTCGTTTCTGCTGCAGTTATGAAAAGGCAAGACAGGCACCATGCATTGTGCCAATAGGAAAGATTTTGGAAACAGTATCTTGTGTAATGCCTAAGCATTGCAGAAATATTAGACATTTTGATCTATGTATTCTAATATTATTCCTCAACCAGGGATCAACCACCTACAATCAGAGACACTGCAAACAATATACTGTAAACACAGCTAAAATCAAATACACTAATACCCTTTAATTTTATCCAAGATTGGATTTAGTCAAATCCAGGCCAAACTTATCCCAGATGTAACTGCAGGAACAGCAGTAAACATTGCATCAAAGAGTAACTCAGACCATTTTTTCTTTCTTACTGACAATTTATGAAAATCATGAAACTGCTGATGCAAGCACAAATATGAGAGGTGGTGCAAATGCACAGCAATGCCCTCTCAGTGGTCACCATGGCTATTGTGCTTTGTTCTAGTATTTTTACAAATTATTAAACATATTGACCATAGTTACATGTTTTGAAATCAAGAAGACAAAGAATCCATTTTTATTACTTTATTAAACTTTTTCATTTAATCTGGTAATAAAACTACTAAACTGTGTGGTGAAATCTCTATTAAAATTTGCCTTAGCTCCTGGAGCCACACAGGCAAATGCTTTAATAGTTCTCTTAAGTTGGTTTCCTAGTGAAAGCTTTACTCTGTTATCAGATTCTGTTATGCATTACATAGATCCCTGCTTTTGTTTCAGGAGGTAGTTTGAAAGCTTTTGGGCTCTTCCAATGATTGCTTCGCTTTTCTTTCACAGCAATTACAGTCCCTTCATTTATTTTCAATGGAAACTTTAGTGTTTTAGACCTTACACATGTAGCTGAATGCTCATCTCTGGATCTTATTTCCAGTCCTCGGGAGGACCGGTTTTGATGACCTAGTCTGATTACAGCATCTTTGACAGCTTTAAAGGAATTTGCTCGGGGGAAGGAGACAGCTGCTGCTCTGATGAAGGATTTTTCTGAGCAGGCCTCCCAAGCTAGACATGTCAGTATGAGATGCTGCCAACATTTTCCGTCATGACCAACAGGTACGTCTAAAAAAAAAGGCTTGTGTTCGTGCCTTCATAGCCCAGTGTTGAGAGAGCCTCTATCATAAAACTTCTTAACCTGCTTCTGTCAAAATGCTATGGCTTCTTGGCTTCTTTTCCTTTATGTTGTATAATCAGCCTCTCTGGAAACTGTGGGCCAAATCTTTAGTGTGAACTGGCATTGCTCCTTCAGTTTATATAGACTTCAGGGCAGGAACAGTCTCTTTACCAGTACCTGTAGCTCTTCTACAGCCCTCTTCTTAAACAAGACTTATGAAAATGAGCATGTTATTTAGGATCCATTATTGGAAGCTGCATTAAAATCTATTAGCAGACATTTTAGAATTGTCTAAAAGCAGTATAAAGGTAATATGACAACCTCTTCCTCTAGAGCCTGTTCTGCCATCAATGCTGAAAACAAGGTAGGCAACATTTCAAATCCTAAACAACACTTTTTGCTTCCAGAAAGGAGGTATCACCTGATTAATGTTGTTGTGTATCAGGAAAACTCTATGTTCCCTTCCCAATGCCATTCCCAAACCCAGGAATTTACCTCCATTTTGCTCATATAAAGCACCTAGAGTGAATGAGTCATTATTCAGACAGGAATGTTTTGCAGTAAAAGGTTTTGGTGTGCGTCTGAATTTACAAGGTTTTGTATGTACGTTCTGGAGCAGCTATTTTATTTTTTTGGGTCAGAGCTACTACTGCATGGACTGTTGGGCAGAACCAAGATTTAGGGGAATTCATTTCCAAGACATCTCCAGCCTTAGTTTTGTAAAAAAGACTCTTGCATAAGCAGATGGTTGGAAGGAATGAGAGGTACCTGGTACACTGGAGCTCTAGCTTCTCCTGTCCAGGGCCAAGCCATATCCACCACTACACACTGCCCCAAAATCCAACTTTGAACTGACAAGTAAAGGTGACAACTATCAGTGCCACTTCATCCAGATTCTCAAAATTCTCTTTCTTATTCCACCTCTGTATTGCTTAATTGTGCTGCACATTCCCAGAAAAAAAAAAGGGAAGCAGTGCTACTTTACTGCCTTGCAGGTGTTTGATTTCTATCTGGTAAAGGCAAAGGAGCTGAGTCTTTTCTCAAATAGCAATGGTGAGCACAGAATAGTGTATCAAGGCCATGCAAACCCACCAGCCTTGATTAGCCTGGCACTTCCTTGTCTCCTCCAATACTGATCCTGATACATATCAAGTCCTCCTGAAAGACATGACAGAGTGGTGGCTCCAGAAGCCACCTTCCTATGTGTTAGTTTGAGGAAATCCACTCCTCTTACAGTCTCAGATGTGCTTTTTGTATGTGCTTGAACTGACGAATATGCTTTGCATCCAAGGAAAATTTGCAGGCTTCAAGAAAGCATGTCTTTCTTGATATACCCACCTATCTGAAACAGGAGAGGCACCCAACACCTGGATCACCCATCACTCTCTGGTAGCAGCATTTGCTGCCACTATGCCAGGTAAAGTCACCCAGCACATTCCAAAGGAATCAAGGCAGGAGGAGCAGGTGAGAAGCAAACATGGCTACTGGGCTTAGAAATGGGAATCAGGTGTTGTTGTGGAGAAATAGGTAGATGTGACAAAAATTCATTTAAAAAGAAGGAGTAACAAAGCAGGCAGATACTCTCTTCACTCATGTGCTGCAAACAGTGTATATTGTTCAGAAGATTACATTCTGTGTCAGTGCATAGGGAAAATATCCTGGAAAGTCACCAGTTGTAATAAGCTAGTGATAGCAAACCAAGTAGTGGGAGTGTGAGAAATGAAGTTGTTTGGCCTTTTGGCAGAAGCCAGTAGAGCCATAACTCAATAGAACAGTGTGCCAGCCTTACAGGCAGACTGTGCCCCTCACAGTAACATTACTTTAACTAGAGGAAAACAGAAATTATTACTCTGGTCAGAAAAGAAATATGATATCTGTGTTTTGGGATCAACAGTACCCTGCCCAAGTCTTTGTACATCATATTATTTTACTTAAATGAAAAGCAAATGCCTTACACATGCACTAACAAATTTCCATTCACTTCAGTATTCTTTCAAGGATATAGGTAGAAAGTCAGCTTGACCCAAATTTCCCCACAGAGATAAGCTTTGGAAATCTATCAGTCCATAGATGTGAGTCACAGAGGTGAAATCCTGCCTGGGTTCCACATGCAGAACTCTTCATTAGAGTCAGTAGCATCCCTTGTTATGCAGTGGGTAACAACAGGTGTCCTTTTACTTTCTTTTAGAAATGTTGCACAGAAAACAATTTAGAACAAAAACATGTCAGTCAAACAGAAGGCAAATTTTCAGTGAAGAAGTCTTATGAAATCTCTTGCTAATAACTTTTCTATTTGGACTATCAAATATCTCCATCAAAGAAGCTGACACTATATCCCAGCTCTGGCACTATCTGTGTAGCATGTGATAAAACATGCCAAAAGCATGTCAAAAGTCAGGAAAAGGTATTTCAGTTCTACAGCCTCAGGGGAGTCACAAAAGCAGGTCTTCCTCTGGGAAGGAGGAGTGCTGGTGTCACTTTTCTGCCATTTTAGAGCTTTTAGAACTGGAAAGGGCCTTTTGGCTCAGTATGCTCCAAAAGGGTTCTAATTTTTTCAGTTCTCCAATACCCAGGAAGAAATGATCGCACAAGTTACACTGCATAAGATTATGCCAGTCTCAATGCCTCTCTTAGAAATGATTGTTAGAGCAGGTATAATGCATGAAAGAGAGAATGCAAGAAGCTAAACCAGCTCTCCGCGAGTTTTGCCTTTTTCAGGGAACAGACACATAGCCAGAATCATATGATAGACCAAGAGCTCAGGTTCAGTTCTCCTTCTGTTAGACACTATTAATTCACCATCTCCATAGGTGTTCTGTGAAGATTATTCTTTGCCTTTGCATTTGTCTAGCTTTAAAGGAAAAGGCAATGTAATTTCCATTGTTTCATTGAGAAGTCTGATTGAAAGGCTCATACATTTGAGATGATGAAAAATATGCTGATGTAAATGCTCCCGATAAGAAAAAGTACATTTGTTGAAGCAGAGATGATTCTGACCAACATATTAAAGTTGAGAGGTTTCCTTGTCCCAGACCAAATTTCTGATAAGAATGAGGGAGAGAGAAATGGGAGCAAATGAGAGGGATGTTACTGTTACAGGTCAGGTAGTAATAACCTGCATACTAGGGGCATTACATTTTAAGGATCTTATCCAAACCTGCCAGGGGTCAGAGCTGGACCCCAGTTCCACACTCTCCAATAAGAGCCCCTCCTGCTCTCAGCTACTCCCACTGTAAGACACAGATTTTCTTGGCATGAGCAGGACTTTCCGACACTCCTGCAGGCATGCCAAAACATACTCTGCTTTGGAACAAAACCACAAATCTTCAGCTTGCCTGTGCAAAACATAACTGGCTTTCAACCTGACATTTGTATATCCTGGTGTCCACAAGTGTTCTTTGATGTGCTGCCTGCCTTTTCCCTTGTTTAGTTTCCTTGCCTCAGCTTAAAGTGAGATGCAATTAACTATAGGCTCCAGAAGCACTTGGCCAGTTTTGGAAATTGTACTAACTACTCTTTCTTAAGCCTATTTATTTTACTCTGAAAACACCAAGCTCTAGGGCTTGGAGAGCTGGAAGAGAGAGACTTTAATACTAATTATAGTAAATTAAATCCAAAACAAATATCAGCATTAATAGACTTAACATTATGTAAAGTAGCTGCTAATGGCAAACAGATTTGCCACATGGTTTTTATATTCTTCATCATCCACTATCACCATCCAAATTTTCCAATTCATGCATATTTTACTCATTTGGTCTTTTCTTTTGTTTCAATCTCCTATTTTCTCCATTTTTCTGTTCTTCTTTCATGTCATTAATCTGATTTAATACCCCTCCAAGGTGACACTGCAAATGGAGCTCAAGAGCATTTACATCAGTGCCTTCAAAACATCATATGTAGCAATGCCTGCATCTAGGTGCTTCACAGTTCCCTCGGCTTATTCCCTTCCTATTGTTGTTAGTCCCACTTGCTGCCCTTTTCAGGACCAGCTTGGCACTGATTGCCAACCAGGTTTCTAAAATCCACAAGGACAGACAGCGTCTCACAGAAGTCAACAGGAACCTTTTGATATCTGTGATTTAGACAAAACTGCTAATCCCCTTTTTAGACTATACACTGCAGTCATCCTAGCCTGAATTCTCCTCAGGCTGAAACTCAACTGGGAAAATGGGGAATTGTTACAGAAAGCCCCAGTCAACACAACAGAGAGCACAAAGCAATTACTGCTAAAATGGAACTCCTAAAGAGAGTTCTGCTTTCACTCTTTCTAAGGGATTTTCTTTTCATGCCTTTTTTGCCTCCCTTTCTGTTTTATGCCAGCTCAGTCATCCTCCTGCTGGCAGTGGGTTCGTCCTTCTCATTTATCTCATGGCTGGTGGCAGCCCTGCCATCAACAGCAGCCCAGATGCTTTAAGCAGAGGTACCAGTTTCACTCTTTTTTGTTTCTGCAATATGATGAGCATGTGATAAAAGCTGACTCAGAATGACCTCACCCACTCCAGTCCTGTCCATCTCCCACATTCCACTGGCTGATGTGGAATCAGTGAGCCAACACCAGCTATTAGCATTTGGTTACTTGGTAACTCTTATTAGATCAATACATGCTTCAGATTTAAGATCCCAGTGGCAGGATGATAAGAGTGAATTAGAAAACCTCAGGTAGAATAAACCTAATGGATCATGGAACATTTCCAAGCTAAAAATGTATGTTGAATCACAAATAATATCATGGTTGTAGTCTCAGGAGTCTAATTATGAAATGGATGTGGAATCATTCCATAATTATTTAGAAAGTTCACTTCGGCAGCCAGAAATTCTCTCTCTGTTTACCGTATATCATCACAAGTACTTTGTGGTTATTTGTAACACCTACCCGGAAAGACGCATGAATAAGAGAGGCAATTTAAAGAAATGGAGACAGATACATGCCTTTTATAAGTCAAGGATTCATGTCAGGGATGAATTGAGACCAGGTTTCTCAACAGAGTTAAATCATTTCTAGCCAGTCCCAACAGAGCAGAAATCTCTGTGCCCTGCCAAGGCTCTGCCTTCAGAAATGAATTCTGCTCTGCTGGATCAGATGGCTGCATGTGATATTATCATGCCTAATCTAATTTTTGCGAAGAGTAGCAAGCTAGGCTTGCAGTTCATGGATGAACGGCCCCAGATCTGCCTGCCTGCATCAGAGGGGAACTTATAGATCTGTGTGATCATGAAAACTTGCAGCACAGGGTAATAATATCTAAAGGGCAAAGAGAAGGTCTCACTGGGAGGATAACCTTGTGGGTGCTTCATGTAGCATCACAGGGACCTTTGGTGTTGCTCTTTGTGCTGACCATGCTTCCCTTCCTTCAGAACAAAAGCATCTTGGTACATAGATCTCTGGGCATCACAGGAATTAACAAAATTCTGGAAAATAAAGTCAATTGCTTTCAGCCTAGCTGGCTACACACACCAAGTGTTATCAGACCATCTTCCTACTCATTACTCTGTCTCCATTATGCTTTATTGTAGACTTTTTTCCCCCCAACTCCACAAAAATGCCTCATTTGGGGTGACCATCAGACGAGAGGTTAATCATGACCCTTTTGGTCATGGAATACACACTGAAAAGTACGGTTCAAAGGTATGATTTTTGTCTTGAGGCTGGGATTTGTACAGTGCTTTCCTTCATGGAAGGTTTGAAGAGCAGAAGCGGTGCTGTATGGCACCTTATGGGTGTCCCACACTTTTCATTAGTAAATCTGTTCTTCAGAGGCAGAGAAAGGAAGAAGGAACACATCTAATTATACTCTGTGGGGCAATTTGCCTTTTTATTTCCTGATGTATCCCCTGACTGGTAGAAAATCACTCTTGGCAAACACAAAACTTACCTTGCTGCCGAAAGGTGCATCTCTACGTTACTAATCAAGAGCACACAGAACCACAAAAGGTGGAATATTGAACAAAGGCTCAATTGACACTCTGGAAGTTGAAGCAGATATGGAAGACTCCCTCCTAATTTATTTATTCCTTTTCTGTTCTGTTATCCTGATATGCTGCTTCCAGTTACCACTGCACCCCACACTGTATGGTATTACGTGATTTTGTTTTCAGATTGTTGGAGATAAAGTTACTTCATTATTAATATATATGCACTGTGCATATCCATAAATATTGAATATATACGTGTGTGTAAACCTACTGGAAGTGTTAATAGTTAAGATAAACGAAGTCCATTATTGCAATGAGTGACTATTTCTATGACCCTATTTGCAATAAAACCAGATTCAATGATAGGAGAAAATTGCTAGGTTTCAGAATAATTGGACCAGACCAGACAAATCCCCACAAAGGCATCATTTACAAAGTACTTTGCTTGTCTGAAATATTTATTCCCACAGAAGGAAATGGAAAAAGAGTTCATATGGTTACACAGCTATTCTCTGAGTGTAAATTAGTTTTATCATGTTACGTTTATTTCCTAGACATCTTCCATTGGGATACTTCAGGAAAATACTTGCTATGCAGTTAGTTCCTTTGTGTGGACTGTTTATATATTCACTGGGAAGTCAATCATGTTTTGTTCAGGCTTATTTTGTTTTTCGACCATTTAAGCAACCCTTTTCTTGCAAAAACTTATTTGCATATACAATGTACACTATTTAAAGTCAGCACAACAAAGACAGGTGAGATGCTGCTTTCCCCTCTATTCACCATGGGAAGTAGTGGACTTCCTGAAAATGCTGGTATTGCTCATTAAGATTGCAGTATATTGTTTGTGTTTAAGAACTCCACCAGTAGTTACAGATATTTTTAGTTTGTCTTATATTGAAAGCCTGAATAGATTTTTACTATTCACAGTGAAATGCTTCCAAGCAATCTACAGGCAAAGAATTACTCCTAGAAATTATTTACTGAGTAAAACTGAATAATGAATACATTCACAAAAGTCAACTTGTGAACAATTGACTGAAAGAAATAAAAGTGACACTCATCAGCTAAATTATTTATTTATTAATTCATTGTCCAGCTTTGATTCTGGCATATGTTGCATGAAATAAGGTCAAAGCAAAGTAAAAATATTACTTTAAAAAGAAGTTTATATTAAAGGAAATTGTTCCAGCTTCCAAAGCAGAAATTATCTTACTGTTGTAGCTCTTATTTATTACCAATAGTTGCAGAGGCTAGTGAAGTTATTTTCCTGGAATCTTTCACTTCATGCATTAAACTGTGTTTTATTCCTAATGCATATCCAATTTTAGGTTGTTAAACCGCAATCAAAAGGACTTAGTAGGAATGGATCTGTCCCTGTTATGAGGTTTGAACTCCTGACATCCTTATTCACTGGAATTTGACTGCCCAGGTAACTACTAATTATTCAAGCATTTACAACCATTACTATCAACATGATTAACATATTGTGGGATAAAAGTGAGACTGGTATTATGAAATGACCATTCCTAGCACTTGGATAGGAATCTTCTATTAAAACTTTTATAAGCTGCTCAATTATTTTTCAATCAAAGTAACAGAAAAAATATTTATATTTAAGGGGAATCTAGAACTGAAAAGAAATAGTTTCTGGCATTGAAAATGATAAATGTTCTCTCCATATGTCCATTTCTCAAAAACAATCAACCCTTTTAACTTTTCTGCAGATTTTTTTTTTTAAGAAAATACCAAAAAGTTTCTGACCAATTGTTTAGAAAAGCATAAGACCTTTCTTGAAAATAAAACCAGATTCTGTGAAAAAGATAGGAACAAGGTTTTTCATTCAGGTCTGAAGGCTCACAAGCTCAATGCCGCTCTGCAAGAATAAGACCTGCACAAGACCTTCTTATGTGCCTTGCTGGATGTCACTGATAAAAATAAATGAGATAGTTCACATGGAGGAAGTCAAAGCCAGATGAAGGCTAGAGTCTGACTTCTGTCTTCCCACCTTTATCAGTTTTGCTGGCCAAAGTAGGCAGGTAAATTTTCTTATATGAATTAGTAGCAAGTGATTTCCACAACAGGAGGAACGAAGAGCCAGAGAAGTGAGGGACCACAGTTTGGAAGGCTTTGTCAACAATCTGTCTAGAATCTACTACTAACACTTCCCCCACCAAAAGCTTAGCTTAGATACCCCAAATTAACTGCTGTGAAACACTTGCAGGACGCAGCAGAGAGGGGATTTTGAGAGCATGTTTCACACGCCCTGCAGCTGTGAGCCGGTTGCAGCATGAGGAAAAGCCCTCCATCACCTCAATGTACAGGAAAGAGAAGGTAAGGTGACTCTCTCCAAGTGGCTTTTAGATATGGTACATTCAGTGAAGACCCCCAGCCTAGTGAAATCTGTTCTCCACCATGCTGACACTGCTTTCACAGCTGGAAGGGAAGGGCTTGAGGACAGTAGCTCCTGCAAGCACTGCAGATCTGTGCAGAGGCTGATCTGGCAGAGGGCAGCAAGTCTCAAGGGAGCTGCTGAGCCCACATCAGCCACAGCAAGGGGTCTCCACTGCTGTGCTGGCCTGGTTTTCTCTGGGGCAGGATCCCAACCCTTCACATCTACTCACCTGCTTCCTGAATCTCTGAAAGGAAGATTTAAACAGTGAAACCCACAGAGCTGCTGTGCCCTGTGTTTCCTAGTGCCAATGTAAGCATCTTGCAACCCTCGCTCTACTGGGTTGGTGCAAACCAAGGACCGTTCTGAGCATGCCATGGGAGAATCCACGCAACCACCTGGAAAATAACACAAAACTGAGTACTTTAGGTATGTCACAGCAAACAAATAGCTCCAGGAAAAGAACCACAAAAAATGTTCATGGTTCTGCTTCTAGAGACAGCAAACCACCATATCTCAGCAGACATGCTACGTATTTCTGACTGGAAATTGCGTATTTGATGATGACCAACCTTCAGCATTTAACAAGGGGCTGTTGAAGCCTCTTGAGCAGTAAATCACCTCTTTTCTTATCAATAATCTTATTATAATATCTGTAGAAATGTCTAATGTTAAAATCCCACTTTATCACTATAATAATGGATCAAATTTGTAAAGCATATAAAGTGAGGCCATAACTATAGCGAAGAGAGATATATGTAATCCCACTACATCTGTATTATTTCCTGATGGCTTTACTCACATATTTTGAATGGGAGAAGGATTATAAGCAATCCCACTTGCAAGATTTTTGAGATTGGGGATGGCTTCTGGAAAGGAGATCACCATGATCACAGAAATGCATCAATAATTATAAAAAAAAAGGAACAGCTTCAACTTCACGATTACACACATAAATATGTAGGTGTTTATCTGCGATTTGCTCCATTGAAGAACTTTGCATTTGCCAGGGAAGCCCTGCTTTCCAGCTGCACAATCAGTATTATCACTATGTGCTATTTTTGGCTACTGAGTACATTTCAAGTAACGTCATCCTTCCCAAGCCAACACTGGTATGAAGGGCGGAAACTCTTCTTTCCACTCCCTTGTCATTTGCTGCTGCTCCCATCTGCTCAGTGGCACTGCCTGCTCAGTCTTCACTGTAGAGGGATTTCCAGACGCTTTTCCCTGATCCTTCTCATTTTCTTGAGCGAGTGGTTTTCTAACTGAAGCCTCGTGTGGGAGGCTTCATGTTGGCATCCAGAGTACATGTCCCAAATATGTCCAGCCCCACCTTCTGATCCTAGTGCAGAGGAGCTGCTGGTAAGTAATCTCTTGATGGGCAGTAAAGTCCTTATGTCCAACACCCGGAGCTTTTCAGAAATGGCTTGTTTTTAAGGGCATGTAATTTACTGACTAGTACTTTAATACATTTCGAGCTCTTGTCATAGTATGTTAAGACCAGGTTTCTGTCTGAAGGGAGAATGCATCACTACTTCTGACAGCTTTGATTTCCATAAGTTATTAAAGTTTAGTAAATATTGTGAATACTACTTCCTCTTTAAGGTCCTCCTTGGGTAGGTGCTACCCAACCAGCTAGTTGTTTAATGCTTTTCTCTCCTGATGTGATGTTGCTGCTAAGTGTTTGGAAAAGCTCATATGGACAAAAGCAACACTTGTTTTAAGTCTCTTCAAATATAAAGTTTAGTTTACTTGGTTGTGCCACAGACGGAGCCCTCCTAGCTAAAGCTATAACCACTGCTAGCCTGAGCTGGGCTGTGTCTCCCTAAACCCGTTTCATTTTACACAGAATAATTAAATATTCATTATGCCAGAAAGTGTGTGTGTGTGGTTATAGCAGAGTGATTAGGGTACTCACCTGTTAGATGAGAGATCCTGTTCCCACTGACTGCTCCAATGAATATTTAAGTATTTCATATTAAGTATTCATTGGAGCAAGGATAGTAGCAGACTTCTCCCACCCCGAGGGGAGCACCCAAACACCAAGCTGTAAAGTCATTCTTTCATTCCTTCTTTCTTTAACTCAATGAACATTTAATTATTCAAGGCCAAACAAGACAGCTTCAGTGGCAGCAACTGATTCCCTGCTGCCATGTGTGCAACATAGCTCTGATAATGAGGGCATGTATTTAAGAGATGTTGGTTCATATTCCTTTGGACTTACACAGAAGTTGAATCTAGATTTTCCATAACCTGGATGGGTGTTCCAGCTTCTGAGCTCCTGAATAAAAACCACATAGCTCCAACAAACCCTGTCCCCAGTCTTGAGACAGAGGTGGTATGTATGCTTATACGACCCCAAGATCAGAAAGAAAATCTTTAATAGTGAAAAATTAAGCCAAAATCTGTTTCATAAATCCCTCAGGAGAAGGTATCAAAGCTGAAGACTTTCCTTACTCCATGGCAGTTCCTGCTGGTTATGTTATGTCCTTTTCTGAGATTATCCAGTGTTATGCATAGAGAAATCTACTTATCCTCTGTATTGTGGGGTCTGACCCCCCTAGCCTGTAGTTAATTGGACTTAATTCTGCTTCTGCAGCACAATGAATAGGTACGAGAAATGGTAAGTGTGGAGAAAACATCCAAAGAGAAAAGGTATAGGGTGAAGGTGTTTGAGTCTAAAAATGGGCAAAAGTAGCAGGCATTGAAGAGTATAAATATTAAAGCAGGAAGAAAAACATGGAGGAAGGAGAATGCAATCACTGAGTGGGGAAATGGCGCACAAAGGAAAAATAAGAAGCAGGGACAGTGACTAGAAGGAGCAAACAAATAATCTGAAAATAATACACTTTACCTAGCAGAGAAACAGAGGGAAGGGAGAAAAAGGCATAGAAAAGATTACTTCAATCTTAAAGTAAGCAAAATGTGGAGAATCTCTGGTTTTCTAAGATTCACTCTGGGGAGCTGACTGTGGGAGTATGACTATACAGAAGAGGGACTTACTACTATTACTGCAGCCCTGTTTCTTGTCATCTGGCAGAATCCACAGCAATCTGATTCTGTTATCAAGGCCTGAGTGTGACTTCCAAGCAAAAAAATCAGAACAACAACAGAACTGTGATATCAAAGTGCAAACAAATTACATTCTCATACCCACCAGGGTAGTGTCTAAACCCAAGACTGCTGCATAGCCTCAGTTGTTGAAATGGCAACACTGCGCTGAGAACCGAGATGCTTAGCTTCGAAGAACATTTCAAAGGTGCTATCAATATTATAGCTCATATTTTTTGTATCACATTTATGTCCTTCTACCTCAGGGCTGTTCAGTAACTGTTCATTCCAAATCAGAGAAATCCTTTCTGAACACTTTGCTGTTACTTTGACCAACCTTAAAAGAGAGCTTTAGAATAGAGTACTGAAGATCCATGACAATGAAGTAATATCCATATTATCTTGCTATAAATATTACAGTCATTTGACTATAAATGTCCAAACAGATGTGTTTAATATAATTTCCTTTGAGGGACATGGTAATAGCAACAAAAGCTCAAAGCTTCACCCAGTTTCATTATTCCATTTTAAATGTCCATGTTCTTTGTGTTTTGATCAACTCTTTAGACAGATGACAGTAGCTATCCTCCTTCAATACTGAGGAAAAGGCAACCTGCAGATCAAGCTGTGGGGGAAAAGCGGAAACCAGAGAGAAGAGTTCGATTTCGTGAGCCAGAAGAAGTCACTGAATATGGTATGCTCATGCTATTATGCCTTTTGGCATGAACTTTCTAGCTTAGAACATGTCTGTCCACATAAGCTTCCCCTTCTGATAAAGTTATTTGTGATTTTGAGCTCAGCTCAGAGCAGAGGACAGACAGAATTGCATTTGGTCCATTTACTTGCCTCCTCTGGGAACATACAGGCTCCTGTACCACATTAGAGAAGCCTCAGGGCTGTTCTCTGGGTGAACTCATGAGTCATCCACTCCAGGGATCGTTGTAGACCATGGGCTTGGCTGAGCCTCAGGTCTACCCCAGCACGATGCTTCCACTCATACTAAAGGATCTCAGACCAAATGTGAATACACTAATGTCATTCTGGGTAACTAAGATGTAATGGTGGGGAGGAAACCAGCCTGTTCATGTTTCTGAGCAGCATGCATGCCATGGGATACAATAGTAAAGATCTGAGCCTAGCTGGCCCACTGGGGTTAAAAGCAGCCAAGATATAACAGTTTCTGCCAATTAGAGCACTCAACAAATGATATAGCTAACATAATCTCTGGTCTTTCGTTTCTGAGCCAAAATAACAGTCTGCAGGTTGGTCAGCTGGGGGTGACTTCAGGCAGAGGTCTAGCACAAGGATCCAGTTTATACTTCTGCTAGTGATACCATCCATAACCAGATAAGAACTGTTGTTTCATTCTGACTTTCACAAGCTGACCCAACTGAGAAAAATTTTATGTATTGTTAGGGGGCTAAAATTGTATAGTTTTGGTACACTGGTCAGGAAAAACACAGGTGAGAGAATGGTAAAATTTCTGTGTCAGCCCCCTATCTGGACTGCTGCCCTGTTTTTGAAAACATCAGCTGATGTGTTTGTAAACAAACCTCTTACTGGTTTTGCAATATGTCATTTGTGGTACCTCCTAATGCTGGAGGGAAAAGCTGTTTCTTGACAAGGTTGTTGACATGACCTGGGCTTTCCTGTCAAAACTGAACTCCAGTTCTGCACTCAGTGAGTCAGCTATAAATACTTCAAAGCTCATCTGACTGCTCTAGAGAAGGATTTTAATGAGAGCTAGTACATCCTTCAGCTCCCTGCCAGAGCCTATGCCCCCCCTTAAGCACTGCTGAAGCCAGTCCAACCAGGGGGGACCAGGTGTATCTCCCACTGGCTCTGACTTCAGCACAGCCATGCATCATGCCCAGGGAACTGCAAGGATGGAGAAGACACTGACTCTTTTCCATTAAGACATTAGAAATGTCCCAGTCCATAATCAATATTCTCTGTTGCAAACAGCCTGTGAT